ACATTATATGTGAAAGGGGAAAAATATAATATTTTTTTTACATTAAACATGACAGGTGTGGAGGGTAAAAGTGTCATACCAGCGTCCCTGCTCCAGCGCCCATAGCATTTATAACACCAACCATTCCTCCTAGATGAACAAACAGCACGTGAGGACTCAAGTAAGTTTTTCTAAACAATTCCAGCAATCCTTTAACATCCTCGGCTTTTAGAAAGTTCAATCCCGCATTCAAAACAATAGAAAGGAGGCTTCCAGCTCCAGCACAAGCCGCCACTAACAAACTCTGGTGGAAGGTATCAGATTGTTTAACTGACAACAAACCAGAGATGAGCTCCATAAGGCCACTCATAAGACGCCCTAACTCAGTATCATCAATCATTTCAACCCTAAGGCAGAAAGACACTATAGTTGGTAGAGCAAGGCATGCTCCTATAGATGACATCTGGACACATTCGTCACTCGTGACAGTTTTTGAGGATAAAGTACTTGTAACTGGAATCCACGAGAAAACTAAATCTTTCAAATAAAGGACTGCGTCGTATGCCCCAAATCTGTATATCGCGCCAAGAGAATTACCTAAACCGATTATGGGTCCAGCAATAGCCCATGCATCCTCCTCCAGATGATCATTGTCCTCAATTATAACTTCAAATTCAGTAGATAAATAATCTGTTTCTAGAGGTATATAGTCATTTAGCTTTTTCAGAATATTCTCTGATGACCCACCTAACTGATATATCATCGCAACTAAAGTCCTGATAATTTTTCTTAATAGTTCAGTTTCATGCATCCCATGTGTTTCTTTTTTCGGTTGAGCTTTAGCCCCGAAATCAATTCTGTTTAGAAGACCCTGACATGAAAAACCCAATCCGATCCCGCAAGCTCCTTTCACAAGGGTGCTCTTGCTAATGGACGCCACCTTTAAAAGAACGAACCACGTCAAACATGCTAAAGATCATTATGCCTAACAAATCAATAGACATTCAAAATTCAATCAAAGGTCTTTCAGATAACTAAGTTTACTCCTTTTTATTCATCACACATGCATGCAGCAATTGCATTACAAAGTTTATAATTTGGAAACGTTGCATGAATACACACCTCAAGAAGGGCATTTATATTCTCAAACTTCTGCTCATGATCAGTCAAATGCAGGCAACTTGATATCAACCCAAGAGAAATCGCCGCCGACCATTGGCGGTATTCGTGCGCATACTGAGACAACCAGTCTAGCAAGAACTTTGAAGCCATCGACTTGACCATGTGTGCAGATGCAGGTAGAACCTACACAAGGAATAGCAAGAAGCATTAAAGTTATAAAAATAAAAAAGAACCTAGAACTTCATATTTCATTCTAATTAAAGTTATCCCTCATTTCGAGTGGTACATTTGATTAGATGGAGGCCGTTCTCTTTTATTTCTTTTCACTCATGAAATGCAAGTTACCTTTCGAATATTACTGTAAAAATCATGACGACAGCAGCAGATCTTAAATTGATCACAAAAAATTGGTAAGATACACAAGAAATTCAGTTTTGGTTAATTATCATTGGTCTGTTGGTGAGAGATTATGGATCTCTCTATGCATTCTCCTTGTTCTTTTGCCCTTGTCCTCTCCACTACTTCTGGCTAATGCTTCTCTCTCTTATCAGTTGACTTACATATTTCTATCCTATATAAACAAACTCATCACTGATAGAGAAGAGCCATTGGACTGGAAGCATGTGTTATTGACTATAATTCTTCCTGAATCTGAAACTCGTGTTATGATATTGTTTCAATCCAAACCAAGGATATATAAACAATCCTTATGGAGAAAAAAAAAAAAAAAAAAAAAAAAAAATGCCTTAGATAGCCTCGATCCAAACTCCAGCAACATAGCACCACTGAAGCATACACTAGTATCATATAAAGTTGTTATCATGTCTGTGGCAGAGAAAGAACAGAAGCTTTCTAATTAATTACCACACAAAAAGCTCCAAGTGCTAATGCGATATTTTCAGCAGACCGAGGAATTGCTGCATCTGCTAACCTTGTTAGAATCTGCAGCATTAACACAACCAAATAGCAATGATATTTCAAAACAGAAGGAATAATTAAAACATAAAATTCTAACAAATAAATAAAATTGAACCTTCAGGATTTCATTAGCAGCCTTTGACGTGTTATCTAACATGGTGCCATGGACATTTGCCTCAAGTACCATCACGCGTGACCTCAGCCACCTTTGCATGAAAGGTTTCCATGATTGCAGAGAAAGAAGGGCAAGAAAAGTATTTCTTGAAATCTGAAGAGAGGCTGCTATTTCCACAGCTGCATCTTCATATTTAGCATGAACATCCTGCAAATCTCAAAAACTGATGTCCAGAACTCCATAAACACTGACAGAAAATGATTTAACAAAATACAAAGACATAGTTATCTCACTCTTGACAGTCCTTGGTTCTTCACATCTCTATGAGTGGGAAAACAAAATAAAGCTGCACCGGGGAACTCTTTTATACTTTGCTTACTTCCTGACATAAAAAAATGCCTCTATACGTAAGGATTTAACTCAAATATAGACAAACCAACATACTTTTAGGAAGAAATATTTCACTGATGATAATTAAACCTATTAATTTTAGCATTACAGCAAAAGGGTCGGTAATAAGCCAATCATATTGCTACCAACTTAACAAAATGCTATCTAATTTATCAATGTCATCTTCTCATTGGGCTCAGTCATGTAGTCACCTGTCCTTCAGTGTAAACTAATACCAAACTATACGCTTTATCACTTCGGAGCCCAAAACTTATCTATGTAAAAGTTCATAGAAGCCTCAAAAAAGAGAGTTCGAACTCGAAATTACATATAAAGATTACTAGGAAGAATAACATAGGATATCTGTGTCATTTAGCGAACTGATATTAAGACCAAATGGTTGCACCTGACCTGAATAGACTATTTGAAATTAACATATTAACCAATGCCAAGGAAGAATAAATATGGCATATCTCTGTTATTACGTACTGAAACTAATATTAAAACCAACTAATATTAACCTGAACTGAAAATAACACCAGGCACTACATCTAACAACTTAACAATCTTGTTTCCGGATCCGGAGACCCTTTTCTGCTTTACGAATCTTCTTCTTGTACTGCAAAAACAATAATAGGATCAACAATGTTAGATATATCAATAGTTTCTTTCAAACAAGCAGACTAACAAAATTATATTCTTAACATGTGCTCGTGATTTATGATTTTGACTTCAAATTCTCTGAATGCTGGGAGCGAATCAAGATCCGACTGAGAAACGAGGAATTCCATGTTCCTGGAGCTAAAATCCGGTATGCTTCGCTGGATATGCACCACCTGAAAACATAACATTGAGAAAAATGAACAGGAAAGTGGCCACTTCTATTAACAATTTCAACTGAAGTAGAGAAGAAGTTCAAAGGAAGATAGACCAAAGTTCCAAACAGAGAACCAAATAAATTTCCAGGAAAGCGTCATGACACGGTAAAAAAGGTTAATAATGACATAGTGGTCACAAATTATTTTAAATGGTTGATTCTAAAAAAAATCATGCATCAAGTGGCAATCATTCCATTATTATCTATCAAAGGTCTTAATGTCATGATTAAATACATACACTAAGCTAAAAACACCTAAAGGAACAAGCAATCTGGACACTTACATCATATTGCGATAAAGCTACGAACGCAGCTTCTCGCGCTCTGTTCCAAGAAGAACTCTGTCTAACTTCTTGGTGGGTTCCAATGCTCCACAATATGTTCAAAGCATTTGCCGCTCCTTCTGGATATGCTTCAGCATCCATTGCACCCCATTTTAAAAGAAGAGACAGCCTAGAGCACAACAGGAATCCAATAAAATTCAGACACTTCTTCCAGAGAGAAGATAAATATGATTAAGAAACCAAATCTGTAATCCCAAAGCACAGAGATATAGGAACAAGTGACATATAAGAGCAACAAAAATCTTGGAACATCTACAGAATGTTCATGAAGCTTAACAGAATTATAATAACTAATAAGCTATATGAATCGTAATATGATAAAATCACTAACAAACCATCTATCTGAAGTGATATAGACTTTCCATATTTTCTTTAGGTTCACCAATATCACATCTCAGACTGTTTTCAACTATCAAAAGTTATCAACATAAATCACAATGAAGATAATAAAAACTCTACTCAACTATATAAATCTTCATAGTTGCAGTTAAGCCACAAATGGACCACCTTCCTGAAGTGATTTCAGGTATCCATGCTTGTCTTATCAGCTATCTAATTGCATTAGAAATGTAAGGAATGAAATGCAAATATCCATAGAGAATAGTCCTACTGCAATTATATATCACCTTTATAGCTCAATCCAGAAACACTTTTAAAGGAAAATATCTTCAAAAAGTGGGGGGGAAGAACAAGTGAACATTTACCCATAAGCAACAATTGAATTTCCATGGTAATCCTGAATATGCGTTGCAATGACTTCCCAGGCAGTATAAAAATCTGATCCAAGAGCACATGAAATTCACTCAGTTTTATCTTATTGATGGTCACTACGAACAATCATGTAGGTGAAAAGTCCACAATAATATTTGACTTGATATTCTTACACCTGAGAGCAATAACTACCGGGAACAAATAACATTCAACTTGACATACCGGGAGCAAATAACATTCAACTTGACATACAGAAATTGCATTATGGTCATTACGAACAATCATGTATGTGAAGAGTCCACAATAATATTTGACTTGATATTCTTACACCAGAGAGCAATAACTATCAGGGAAAAAAGAGAACTTCCTCGTAATTTGAAAATTTAACCTGATTATTGTCAAAGAAATTTACTCAAGTGTGCTATTCCTTCATGCCACTTGGAACCAACAAAACACTATCATTCTAAAAACGGGAACTAGTATTAGTGTTAAACTAATCACGACCAAACTCCAAACATACTAAATGAAGAAACGGGAAAAAACTGAAAACTACGTGTAGAAACTCCTGTCTAATTTGTTCTAGTCACTAAACGACACTTTTGATCTCAGAAGCACAGAAATTGAAGTTCCAGGTAAATTTTCTTGGTTAGTGCATCAGAGTACCAATAGCATCAGCTTCACAAAGATGAGCAAGACTTCGTAATCCAAGAGACTTCACCCAAGGATTGCTGTTTTCTATGCAAGCCTAACATGAAAAACAAAGTGATCAGAGAGAGTCGTGGCGCAACCACACTAAGCCCTAGACAGAATAACTAGAATATCAGAATATACCGCAACAGACAAAATAATATCCACTCCCTTATCAGGGTTTCTTTTGCAGACATCTTCTACAGAGACTGCAATGCTGATACAGGTATCACTTTCGGCTTCGTACTGTGCTAGTCCATTTGGTTGCAAGATTGCCTAGAACAACATATTTTCAGAGAACGATGGAGAGAGAACATGACAAATATGCTACAAGAAACTGGTCTACTGGAAGGGAAAAAAAAAAAGAACAAAAACATAAAATTAGGAGCAATATTATTTCTGCCTTTTAACTGGTATAATTTTTCTAATGTTCGGAAGAAGCCACAATCTGTAACCAATGCAGGTTAGCTTGCCACTTCAACTTTCAATATAAACTTTAGATTAGTGAACAAGCAATATGTAAGCCACATACAATTACGAATAAACAACATAACAAAAACTTGCCTGCAAACTATCAAAAACCCGGCCATTGATCTCCCAGGTCTTACTAACCAAGCGTATAGCAACCGCCTTTATGACACTGAGGATCAAAGCAGAATATCACATTCATTAGACTACTATACTGCAAAATATAGAACTCTGAAATTACGGTTAAGAGAAAAATGGCTCCAGAAAAATTATGTGAAATACCGATTCTCGTCCGGGAATTTGTAATTTCAAGAACCCCATGATTAATCATGCCTACATTTTTTTTATTTATTTTCTCAAAACAATGACTTAATTAACTGGTCTACAACCCACACACCTTAAGGGATTAAAACCCCCAACCTCTGTCTACCAATGGCTCCAATACCACTAGGCTAATCCTTCGTGGTTTATCGAGCATCATGTTCGTGCGGCAATGATCTACAGTAAGATAGAACATGTACAAGAAAATTTTGTAGATGACATACTGATCAACCTCCATCTGGAGCATAGGCAGAAGAATCTGAAACACCAGTGGTATCATTGCAGGATGTGAAGCAACTGATGGAAGCAAACCCAAGAGCTTAAGCTGCATCATATAAAGTAAATCTCCTTGTGATATGCATTACAACTTACAAGTTTGTCCGTATCAACTCACAATAAGTAGCCAGCGAGTGCCTGATTTTCTTCAGGTCCATAGCAATCTAGCACTCACCCGCAGATCATGGAAGTCGTTATATTTTAATTTTTCTGCACTTGAGCATACATGATTGTAGAATAAAGTTAACAGCAACAAAGGAACACCAAGCATGGGTTCAATACTACTGCAAGTAGCCAACAGATCAATGGAGAAGTTCCTCGTGTGATGCAAGAATAAGACACTAGAAACTGCACCAAGTATCAGAGGTATTTCTGCAAATGCCAAAACGAGAGAGTAAGGATGTAGGGTGAACAGGATATAGAACTTAAAGCAAGAGTACATCTGATGATGGAGGTGATGGTGCTAATAATAATAATAATAGGGTAAAAGGCAATGAAACAGTGTTCCAGAAACACAAGTATTGAGACAAAAAAGAATTAATCGTTTAGAATAAGAAAGTTAAGAACAAAAAGGAAAGAGAACATAAAGAGATTAGTTGTAGGTATCTTGTGGACCACATAAATATATGTGAACCAACATTCCAGAATTGTCAAAGAAATATGTTATTGATGATGAGTATGTGGGGGGAAAAGGATAAACTGTTATAAGTAAGAAGTCATGGAGAGAACAAAATGGATCGATAAGATGTAGCATGAAATTGTCTCTCAAAATTGTGTCAAATAGTAAAAGAAATTTAGGATTTTGTATATTCTAAGAGCTCTTCCCAACACCCGATACTTTGTGTTAACTAGAAAAGGGATATTAATTCATAACATTTATGTTTTATGGTTTAATTACAAATGTTACAAATACAACCCCTTAGCTGCAAGCTATTGTGAAAGCATCCTAAAATATATAAACATTACCAAGAGACTTGGGGACCTGGGGTTTTAAGATCATTTAACTAAATTAAACAATATGATGATTTTTATAGCAAGGTACCATGTAATTTTTCAACAAAGTGGCTTAGAGAATATATTTTGGGTATCTTAACAGAGGCACTATAGAGTTACAAAGACTGTACTTCTACAAAGCACAGATGGCACCTGCTGGAAAGATTTCTTTAGATGGAGAGGTGGATGGAGTGGCTTTGCCCTTTCCAAAGAGTCGCAAACAATACTCTGTCACACAGGAAGTCCATATCTCCAGTTCAGAATGCTCTCCGTCAGAATCGATGTCACCATCAGAAAAATGATTCACATAAAACAGACAGTGGGATGACAATTGATCCTGTAAAAATTATCAACAGAAAAAATAGGTTTAATTTGAGTCTAAACGAGAAACAAGCAGCTGTTATATTTAATATATTCTGCTATAAGGCATCCATACAAACAGCCTTCATTCTAAGACACGAATAAAATGAAGCATTTAATATTTACTATTTTTAAGGATACTGATCAAAGAAATAAATGTAAACAGGTTTACAACTGACAGAATCATGCACGAATATATTAAGGTTAAAATGGAGTACCAAAATGATTGTGTTTATGAACATATTAGCTAAATGAAGATCATGTGTTAATACACAATAAACAAATATTTAGCAACCAAAGAGGTCTTGACATGAGTTATATATGTAAGTGCCCAACTAACGAAAAGTTGCAAGGTATGTCAAGAAATGCAGGACACAGTGCTGTGTTTAGCATGGAAGATAACAGAGATGTACCTCAAACCACATATTCCTTAGAAACCTGAAAACAATGTGTCCAGGAGTAACAGCCAGCAGGTGCTTCCCCCGGACCAGTTGTTTTTCCTCGGGTGCAATCAGGATATTAGTAGCAATCTTTTCCAAAATAAAAAGTAAATCAGTAGCCGTTTGTTTGATGGATGTAGATGGAGAGGAAACAAGTGCAAGCACAGGAAAGATAAATAAAAGCTCCTCAATTGATTCACTAGCAGAAGCACCGATGAAATAATCTGCAAAACGGGTGAAATATCAATGGTTTAAGATTTAAGAAACATAATATACACTTTAGTGTTTAACTTAAGCACTGGAAAAATGGAAATCCATACGTTGTGGCATATTCAATCTTTGTTCTACCAAGACCCATGAATGTTAAAATGACCACAGACTATAATGGCAGGAGATAACGTACCATTTTCATATTTCCATCTTAGGATAAACAAAACTAGTTTAAGTGTAGAATATTGTTCGTGTTCAATATCTGACTGAGTGAGAACTTGGAACAAAAATAATGTCACCAAGGAAAGTTCAGTGCAACAATCAAAGCCAAGCTCTTTCTGGACAGCCAATATATTCTTTGCAGCATCTAATAATTTGTCAACCCCACCCAAGCGAGATCGGAAATTCCTATTTTGCAATACAACTGCCTCTAGCAATGCCAACCCACGTGACTGAACTTCATCAACAAGCTGATCATATTGAGAAATAAACAACACAAGTGCTTTAAGTTTTGAAGCAATATTATAAGAGCAGAATAGGAGTTCATGCTCAAATACATATCAAAAGATATGTGAGGTTTGCGTCTTTGTGATGATTGACATACCAGCCCCATTCCAACCAACTGCTTCGAAACTACCTGATATGCATCCACCAAGGATTCAATGATACATGAAACAGTTGAAACCTCCTACAACGAAAAGATATAACAACAAGAAAAGCTTCATAAGTTTTTCAT